TAGGAGGGGCGGAGTTGCAGAGATGAGCAGAGAGGCTCAGAGACACAGCGTGGCACAGAGAGGATGCAGTGGTGGAATGGGCAGTACCACATTCCTGTGTGATGGATAAAATTGGAAGGGATACCTTGAGGGCAAGCAATCTCAGCCTGAGGCCAGATTGTGCAGCCCAGGGTTCCAGCACTGGGACATACATCCCCATAACTTCTGGCTTTAAAAACCAATGGAGGTTAGGGCAGTGGAATAGACTGCTGGATTTTCAGAAGAGTTTGTTTAAAGGGCCCATATGGACTTACACAGGCAAACCTCCAGAAGCCAGGCAATAGCATTGCCCCCTCTCTGAGCCCTCCCCACACACAGAGCCACAAAGTGGTAAAGCACGTTGCTCCTTCCTGGCATTTGCCTAAGACTCTGCCCCACACAATTTACAAGTGCCTTTTACAGGGAGTCAAAGCTCCTCTACCTAATACACAGAAACAAACACGTGGAGGCTGCTGAGTTGAGGAGACAAAGAAATACGGCCCAAATAAAAGAAGAGGACAAACCCCCAGAAAAAGAACTAAATGGAATGGAGATAACCAACCTATCAGATGCAGAGTGCAAAACACTGGTTATCAGGATGCTCGAAGAACTCATTGAGTATAGCAAAAGCGTAATAGAAGAAATGAAGGTTACAGTGAAATAAAGAAAAATCTGGGAACCAACCATGGAAAGGGTAAAGGCAAGAATCAAATCAACGATATGGAACACAAGGAAGGAAAAAGCAGTCAGAACATCAGGAGAAAAAAGAATAAAAAACAAATGAGGATAGGGTCAGGAACCTCTGGGACAACTTTAAATGTACCAACATCTGAATCATAGTAGTGCCAGAAGAAGAGGAAGGGCAAAATATTGAAAACTTACTTGAGAAAATAATGAAAGAAAACTTCCCTAATCTGGTGAAGGAAATACGTATGTAAGTCTAGGAAGCACAGAGAGTCCCAAACAAGCTGGACCCAAAGAGGACCACACCAAGACATATCATAATTAAAATGCCAAACATTAGAAGATAAAGAGAGAATCTTAAAAGCAGAAAGAGAAAAGCAGATAGTTACCTACAAAGAAGTCCCCATAAAACTGTCAGCTGATTTTTCAAAAGAAACTTTGCAGGCAAGAAGGGCCTGGTAAAAAGTATTCAAAGTGGTGAAAAGCAAGGACCTACAACCTAGATTACTCTATCCAGCAAAACTATCATTTAGAATGGAAGGGCAAATAAAGTACTTCCCAGACAAGCAAAAGGAGTTCATCATCACCAAGCCATTATTACATGATATATTGAAGGGACTTATTTAAGAAAAAGAAGGTTAAAACTATGAACTTTATACGGGCAACAAGCTCACAACTGTCAACAACTAAATCTAAAAAAACACACTAAGCAAATAACCAGAACAGGAACAGAAGCATAGATATGGAGGTGATTTGGAGGGTTATCAGTTGGGAAGGGGACGGGGAAAAATGGGAAAGGTGCAGGGATTAAGAAGCATCATTGGTAGGTACAAAATAGATGGAAATATCAAGAATAGTGTAGGAAATGGAGAAGCCAAAGAATTTAAATGCACGACCCATGGACATGAACCAAGGGTTGGGGGGATTGCTGGAGGGAAGTGGGATACTAGGCGGTGGGGAGCAAAGGCGGAAAAAATTGGGACAACTGTAATAGCAAAATCAGTAAAATATATTTTAAAAATAAAAAAAAGAAGGCATTTTTAACTGTGTAATATACTAGTAGTCTTTTGTCATGGGTTGACTTTAGAAAAAGATTTCCCTTGCTAGGGATTACTGCTTTGCCTAATGAGTGGTGCTCACCATCAGGCTTAAGGTTGCTCCTTTAGGTCATTTCTTACTTTATAGCATACAGTTCGGATCACCTGTGGATATGGGAAAAATTAGGGACTTGTCCGAATCTCTTTTCCCAATCACGAAAGGAAATCAAGTCAACTGTGGCAATGGCAAAGATAGGACTGGAAATTTAAAAAATGTCAGAAACTGGGGTGATTGGAATTGGTTGGAAACATCTGTTTCTGAATAGACTATTATTTTTCCTATGTTTCCTGCTAGCTTTTTAAAAGAATACTGTGGGGCTTTGGAGTGGAACAGTCATAGAGAACCCAGAGAATTGAAATAGAAGAGTGTTTTTTTCTCTTCATGTTTTATTTTCAATTTGTGTCCATTTCCCCTGCCCTGTGATAGATGGTCTACTTACGAGCTTTTACTATTTTGATCAATTTGTAAAGCCTAGTGTGTTCAATACCTTGCAAAGAAATGCTAGGCTTAGTTCTGAAAACAGCACCAGAAGGTGTTTCCCCTGGAGGGGAGTCAGCTGCTTGTTTCTTAAGAGACTTCTGACACGATCCCCCATGGGAGCCACCTAGCTAACGTGCTGTCCAGTTCTTTGTGGTTGGAGCAAAAAGCCCTGTTGGTCAGCCAGCCTTCAGTGGAATTACACTGGGAGGAGTTGGCATTTTGAACACCTCCACAGTCATGTTTCTGATCAAATTCTACCCACCTATAAAGGTTCTTGGTTGGGCAGAACCTTTGGAATATTTGCCTTTTCCTTTCATCATTCCCAAGGCATTGAGAGACGTGTTTAAGTGGTTACTCCTCTAATCACAAAGAGATTTTGATCACCCCTTTAAAGAGTTCAGAACCATAACTCTCCAATGGCTTGGCAAGCTGATTGGATCTTTTAGGCTTGGCTTGGTACACGTCGTCACCCATGTGTGCTAGGGGCTGCCTGTGAATTTTTCTGTGCCCTAATTTCATTAATCGCCTTCTTTGGGAGTAGTTCTTCCGTGGATTAATTAATGAAGTTGATTACCCTATCTTGAAACTTTTCTGTCATCTGTAAGTTGTAGTCCCTGGTGGACGTGTTATTTTGGCTTTGATTTTGTAGGGGTCAATAATTGGGATCTTGCCCTGGCTGGTGTGGCTCAGGTGGTTGAAGTACTGTACACTGAAAAGTCACTGGTTTGATTCTGGGTCAGGGCGCATGCCTAGGTTTCAGGTTTGATCCCCAGTTGGGGCACATGCAGGAGGCAATTGATTAATGTTTCTCTCTCTTTCTCCCCACTCGCTCAAATGAGAATAAGAAATAAGTCTTAAAAAGAGAGAGAGAGAATCGAGATTTCCTTAGGACAGCTTCTTGTGGGTAGCTGCTGTTCCTGAGTTTTGGGTTTGTTTGTTTATTCTCACCTGAGGATATTTTGATTTGGGGCGGGGGGAGGGCGGCAAGAGAGAGAGAAGCATCAATTGGTTGCCTTCTGTGCATACTCTGACTGGGGATCAAACCCAAAACCTGTTATGTATGGGACCTTGCTTCAGTCAACTGAGTCATACCAGCACGGGCCTGAGTTTGGGTTTTATCTTTGCACCCTTCTTTAATATCTTAGAGTAGGATCCTCGTTTGTATAATGAGGATCACTTACATACTACAGTAGAGGGATAGCTGTATAGTTTTGTGGGTTTTTGGTTTTTGGTTTTGGTTTTGTTTTTTTTTTTGTTTTATTTTTGTAAATTGATAAGTAGCTAAATTCTCAGATGGTATTTATACTCTGGTAAGATTCCAGTGATGTGATTGTTCCAGGGGCCAGTAATCTGTGGCCCATGAGTCAGATATGATCCACAGTCTGTTTTTGTATGGCCCATGAACTAAGTATGGTTTTTACATATTTTAAATGTTGTAAAACTCAAGAGAATGAGGGGACAGGCCACAGACTCAGAAAAAATATTTGCAAAATACACATTTGATAAAGGACTGTTATCCAAAATACACAAAGAACTATTACAATTCAACAATAAACAAACAAGCAACGTGACTAAGAACTGGGCAGAAGACAAACAGGCACCTCACCAGATAAGATATACAGATAGCAAGTAAACATATGAAAAGATGTTCAACTTCCTACGTCATTAGGGAATTGCAAATTAAAACAATGAGATGCCACTACACACCTATTAAAATGGCCAAAATCTAAAACACTGGCAACCCTAAATACAAAAATGAGGAGCAGCAGGAACCCTTCATTGCTGGTGGGAATGCAGAATGGTACATCCACTTTGGAAGACAGTTTGGCAGTTTATTACCATGTGATCCAACAGCCATGCTCCTTGGTATGTACTCAGATGAGCTGAAAACTTATGTCTACACAGCTTTATTCATAGTTGCTAAAATTGGAAGCAACCAAGATGTCCTTCAGTAGGTGAATGGATAAATAAACTGGTACATCCAGACAATGAAATATTGTTCAGTGCTAAAAAGAAATCAATGATCAAACCATGAAAATCCATGGAAGAAAATGAAGGAAGCCTATTTGAAGGCTACCTATTATGATTCTAACTATATGACATTTTGGAAAAGGGAAATCTGTGGAGCGAATAAAAAGACCAGTGGTTGTGGGGAAGGCAGGATGAATAGACAGAGCACAGGTTATTTTTAGGGCAGCGAAACTATTCTGCATGGTGCTACCGTTGTGGATGGTTGTATACATTTGCCCAGACCCATAGAATGTGCAATACCAAGAATGAACCCTAATGTAAACTATGTACTTTGGGTGATAATGAGGCATCAATGTAGGTTCCATTGTAACAGATGAACCACTGCAGGGTGTAGACATTGGAGGAGGCTGTGTATGTGTGTAGGGGGAACAGGAGAATATGAGTGCTGTCTGTACTTTCTGTTGTTGTGCTCTGAACCTAAAATAAATAAAATTAAATAAAGTTTATTAATTTAAAAGAATGTCAAAACAAAAAGAATAATATGTGGCAGAGACTATGTGTGGCCTACAAAGCCTAAAATATTTATCTGGCCTTTTGTAGAGAATGTTTACTAAGCCCTGGACTCTTATCACAGAGGAACTAGGAAATGAGGTGCTTCGTTTCCCTTGTGTCATGCCCAGTCCCCTACTTCTCCTGGTACTCAGTGTCTTTAATGGCAAAGTTCTCATGAATTTCTGTTTCATTTGCAGGTATATGAGTGACCTAAAGCTGCAAATTAAAACAGAGAGAGAGCAGTGCCAACTGCGAGCAGGGCAAGGATGCCAATTCCTCCTCCTCCTCCACCCCCTCCTGGCCCTCCTCCACCTCCCACTTTTAATCAGGTAGGTAATCCTTCCACTCTGCTATCTCAAAATCTTAGTGGATACTTAAGTCTCCATGGTATAAGACATGTTGTACTCAAAGACTTGTGGTGCAGGAAGATGGAGCATAAACAAATCAAACCTGCTTGTATCAACTAGTCTGATTTCCTGATAGGTCCTCTTAGGACCTTAATGACTTCTTGTTCTTTTGTCCTGGTTCAGCCTAAATGGAGATTGGGACAGGTGGCATCAGAGTAGAAACTGGTGTTTCCCCCCACTGTTACTGTTTGTTCTGGAAATGGTCAGTGCATCATTTCTCTGGCATCTTTGAGAAAAGGGATGGCAATTTCTGGTGGTTGTTTCTTGCTACCACTTCATTGCCTCTTCTTCTCCAAATCAGTTAATTTTAAAACCACGTCCATCAAATCTTACCACCCCATCAAGAAAGGAGTTTGTGAAATGTATTAGTAAGGAGACTTAAAGGTTTGATAATGGGATTTTAAAGAAGTATGACTTCTGAACCCAGGAGGGGGCCTCTTTTACTATATTTGGATGATGTCATACAGGAAGGCAGCAACTTGGGTGCTTTATCTCATTTTTGTAAAATTTAAAAGCAAAACTCAGTCTAGAGAATGACCATCCCCAAGGTACGTATGTACGTATGGGTGTGTTAGGTGTTTAACAGAGGAGAAATTGTGCTTATAGAGGAAAAGTGACTTGCCTAGCTAATTTATTTCTGAACTAGGACAAGAGTTCAGGTCTGCCAACTTGTTTTTTTCCCCATAACTTCTGCTTTTCAGACATTTTGTTTGAGAATATGTATGAACCCTCTTTTTGGATGAAATTTTTTTTTTTTATGATTTTATTTATTTTTAGAGAGGGGAAGGGAGGGAGAAAGGGAGAGAAACATCATTGTGTGGTTGCCTCTCAAGTGCCCCCAACCAGGGACCTGGCCTGCAGCCCAGGCATGTGCCCTGACTGGGAATCAAACCGGCGACCCTTTGATTTGCAGGCCAGCGGTCAATCCACTGAGCCACACCAGCCAGGGGTTGGGTAAAATTTTATGTGGAAGCCCAGTAAGTAAAGATAAAAGCAAAGCTGCTCTGGTTTAGTGGGTTTCAAGGACCCAAAGTATCTCCTTCGATCTCAGTAACCTCTTGGATTACTGTCCTGCATCATGCTATTTTAGTCATTCACTCAATAGCCTTTCATTGGTGGCTTACTGTGTATCAGGGACTTGGCTAGGCATACAATTTAGAAAATCCAGATAATTTTACTCTGTACTTATATGTTGCTTGGCTCTTCCCAATAAGAATTTTTATATATATAAATATGTAAATTTATTTTATAAGAATATATATATTCTTATAATATATATATATTCTTATAATATATATAATATATAATAAGAATATATATATATTCTTATTGGAATATATATAAGAATTTATATATAAATAAATTCTTATTTATATATATAAAATTGATATGTATATTTCATTAAAATATACTATATACAATTAAAAGAAAAAATAGGAAAATATGCAAATGAATATCATCTGTAATGCCATTGTCCAGAAATGAGATAGTTTCCGCCTTCAAGGGCTCCCCAGCATAATGGGCAAGACAGAGAAGTAAACAGCAAATTCTGTGCTAGGCACAGATAAATGGTGCTGCCAAGCAGGGCACTTCACCTAGTGATTGGAGAGAGAGGAGGCAATCAAAGGAGGCTCCTAGGGAGAAGGTGATACTTGAGATGAGTCTTAAAGGATGAGTCAGGTTTAGCCAGAAAGAGAAGAGGGAGGGAGGACACTTGAAGTTGTGGAGGCAGAATGTTGGAAGGGTGCCGATTTGTGAGAAAGCACACAGAGGTTTAGACTATGGCTTGAGAAGGGGGTATGGTGGGAGGTGAAGCTGGGGGTGTAGGCTGAGGGTTTGGATTTTTCTCCCAGTGATGATGGGGAGCTGTTGAAGTATTTTCAGGAATAGGAGTAACATGGGTTGGTATTAGAAAGATCACTCTTAATTGTATGGAGTTGAGACTGGAGACGAGGTCAAGACTGGAGAAAGAAGCCAGATGCAGTTGAAAATTGAGGGCCTGGACTAAAGCAGTGAGGATGGAGAGTGGAGATGAGAGACACTTAGAAAGTAAAATCTTAAAGAGTTTGATGACAGATGGAGGACTGAGGAAGGGAAGGAGATTTAAATGACTGACTAGTTTTGGGGATTGACTGAATGATGGTGCACCCAGGCGTTCCCAAATGCAAAATGATGGTGCTGTTTATGGAGGACGTTATAGCCTCAGTTTTGATGTGCTTAGTAATTTTTTTTTATTCCTCACCCAAGCATATGCTTACTGATTTTCAGAGGGAGAGGAAGGGAGAAAGAGAGAGAAACATCAGTGTGAGAGAGAAACATCAATGGGTTTCCTCCCATACTTGCCCCAACTGGGGATTGAACCTGCAACCTAGGTATGTGCCCTGACTTGGGATAGAACCTGCAACCTTTTGGTATATGGGATGACGCTCCAACCAACTGAGCAACCTAGCCAGGGCAGTAATTTTTTTAATATTTTTTCTCTTTTTTTTATTGTATTTTTTCCTGTTACCATTTAATACCCTTATACTGCACTCCCCACTCTGCAATCACTGCACTGTTGTCCAAGTCCATGAGTCCTTTTTCCTTTTTGCTCAGTCCTTCCACCCACTATCCTCCCTCCTCCTCAGCTGTCATCCTGCTCTCTCTCAGTCTGTCTCTAGGTTGCATGTTAGTTGCAGTTTGTTCATTAGATTCCACATATGACTGAAATCATATGGTATTTGGCTTTCTCTCACTGGCTTATATCACTTAGCATAATGTTCTCCAGGTCCATCCATACTGTTGCAAAGGGTAAACTTTTCTTCTGTTTTACAGCTGAGTAGTATTCCATTGTGTAAATGTCCCGTAGTTGTTTTATCCACTCATTTACTGAGGGACACTTGGGTAGCTTCCATATCTTGGCAATTGTAAATAATGCTGCAATGAACATAGGGGTGCTTATGTTCTTTTGAGTTAGTTTTTTGGGTTCCTTCAGGTATATTCCCAGAAGTGGGATCACTGGATCAAAAAGCAGATCCATTTTTAATTTTCTGCGGTATCTCCATACTGCTTTCCACAGTGGCTGCACCGATCTGCATTTTCACCAACAGCACAAAAGCGTTGCCCTTTCTTCACATCCTCATCAGCACTTATTGTTCGTTGCTTTATTGATGACAGGTGTGAGATGATATCTCATCGTGGTTTTAATTTGCATCTCTGATGATTAGTGATGTTGAGCATCTTTTCATATGTCTGTTGGCCATCTGTATGTCCTCTTTGGAGAAGTGTCTATTCAGGTTCTTTTCCCATTTTTTTAATTGGGTTGGTTGTTTTTTTGGTGTTTCTTTATATATTTGGATATTAATCCCTTATCAGATGTGTCAGCAAATATGTTCTCCCATTCTGTGTGTTTTTTATTTTGTTGATCTTTTCCTTTGCTGTGCAAAAACTTTTTAGTTTGATGTAGTCCCATTTGTTTATTTTTTCTTTTGTTTCCCTTGCCTGGGGAAATACATGTGATAAAAAAATTGCTGCAAGCAGTATCGGAGATTTTGGTGCCTATGTTTTCTTCTATGATTTTTATGGTTTCAGGTCTAACATTTAAGCCTTTAATCCATTTTGAACTTACTCTTGTGTATGGAATAAGAAGGTGGTCTAGTTTGATTTTTATGCACGTATCTGTCCAGCTTTCCTAATACCATTTATTAAATAAACTGTCTTTAGCCCATTGTATGTACTTGCTTCCTCTGCTGAATATTAATTGACTATAAAGGTGTGGGTTATTTCTGGGCTCTCTGTTCTGTTCCATTGATCTATGTATCTAATAATTTTCTCATTACAAAAGTGATATGTTCAAGAAATTTATGAAATGTGGATAAGCAAAGAGGAGCAATTATCCATAATCCAGTCATTCATAACAGTTTTGTGTGTATTCTTTCACTCCCTCCCTCCCTCCCTTTGCATCTTCTACTTTAAAAAAAAAAATTGTGCTTTATATACATACTGATTTCTAATCTGTTCTTCTTACTCAATACATCATGAATGGTCATGTTATTAAATGGTTAGTGATACTAAAATTTTTTTTTTTACTGTACTAGAAATTGTTGAAAAAATTAGAGAGTACCAATAAACGGACAATGTTAAAGTATCTATAATTTTGTTAACATTTTGTAAGTTTCATGTATTGTAGGAAAACTGGGAAATATGCATAAGCATAAATAATTATTACCAGAAGTTAACTTTTGGTAGTTATCAATGTTTATCCTTCCAGAAATTTGCTGTGTGTGTGTTTTTTCTTCCAAATGTAATCTAGCTATAGTTTATTGAGCTTTTATTATACACCAGGTACTGTTGTAAGCTCTTGAAAAGTGTTTTCATTTACATGCTGGCCAGGTAAGCCATATGCTATGAGTGTAGTCGCCATATGCCAAGGTTGTGGGTTCGATCCCTGGTCAGGGCACATATAAGAATCAATGAATGCATAAGTTAAGTGAAACAACAAATCAATGTTTCTCTCTTTTCTCTTTCTCCCTTCCTCTCTCTACAATCAGTTTTTTAAAAAGTATTATTTAATTCTCAAAACTACCCTGTGAGGTAGGTTCTATTTTTACTCCTATAAAAGAGAAAACTAGAATCACACTATATATATTATTTTAGAATATTTTTTTACTTGATTGTGGCAAACATTTACTGCCATGAAAATATATTTACTTATACTTTAAGAGCTTAATTGGCATCCCATCGTATGGTTGTCATTGTTCTTTCTGGTTGAACTTTTGGATTATTTTCAGTTTTATCCTATTACAAATCATTTTTTGCTACATTATTAACATCTCTGTGCACTTATTCAATAACTAAAGTTAATTCCTACAAGTAGAATTCTTGTGCTTTGCTTTTAAAAGGTGTTTAATACATAAGTTACTTTCTAGAAAGATCATACCAATATATCTTACTGCCGGTTGTTCAAAAGCGTACCTGTTTCCCTCAATCCTTATGACCACCATAATGTGATTATTTGTTCTTCATGTTTTTTGAACATCTGCAATGTGCCAGGCACTGTGTATCATTGCTCACTGTGGTTCCTGCCCTCACAAAGCTAGCAGTCTCTTTAGTTAAAACTTTAACCTTTACCAATATCATAATGATGATACTGTGTTTTACCCTGCATATCTTTTGTTATAGTTGATTTTTTTTTCATATTTGCTGGCTCCTTGATTTATTTTACACAGTGTTGTTCATATTCTTTGCTTATTATCCTGTTGATTTCTAAGTCATCTTTATATGTTAATGCTCTACAGATTTAGGACACTACTTTTGTGTCTCTCATATGTTGCATTTGTCACAGATGATTTTTCCTTCCAGTATATCATCTTTTTATTTATTTACATTTCTAATAAATAATTTTTACTAAGCAAATCTGTCAGTCTTTTCCTGTATTTTAGTTGTCATGCTTAAAATGTCCTTCCCTTAGCTGTTTTTTCATACAGTATTTTTTTATACTTAAATACAGCTCAAATTTGTTTGAGAGTAAGCCAAGATAGGTATTTAACTTTATTATTTTTTCCAAAAATTACCAGTTGTTATTAACATCTTGTATTTAATAACCTATCCTTTCTGATGAAATATACTTTTATTATTTCTTATGTAGACCTGGGTCTGTCTGTTTTGTTCCATTTATCTAGCCATCTGTCCCTGTGCTTCTGTTGTAATTGGTCATAGGAATACCAGTATTTCAAGATTTAAATGAGCTAGTGCTTAACACAATGCCTGAGGCATAGCAGGGGCTCAATAGATGTTTGCTTTGATGATGTTGATACATCTAAAGCATCTAACACACAAGCCTAGAGCATAGGTACTCAGTAAATATTAGTGCAGGCCTCCTATCAGAAGCCTCTAAATAGTAACAAGACCTTTACCCTTCACAGAAGGCACAACAGGAGAAAAAGCACTAAGAAGAATGGTAGTACATACTACCATTACGTGCCGTATGGCATATATATCTGATTAGGTTAGACAGGCGTCTCATGGAACCCAGTTTGGCTCAAGGCATTTATACCAAGCTCCTGACGAAGGTGACTACTCAGGGTAAACTTACGTATCCTTCTTCTAGGCAAATACAGAGCAGCCCAAGCTGAGTAGAGATGAACAGCGGGGTCGAGGTGCCCTCTTACAGGACATCTGCAAAGGGACCAAGTTGAAGAAGGTGACCAACATTAATGATCGGAGTGCTCCCATCCTGGAGAGTGAGTCTAAGCTTCGTTTCCTATTGAATTACCGGGATCCTGGGATTGATCTGGGCTGTCGTTGTTGCTGAGTCTTAAGAAGACAAGCTTTGTGCTGGGATGTTCTTTGGCTCTCTTCCCATCTCTTCATTTGAATACCTTAGGAACTTCTTTTTGACCTTTGGGCAGCATTCTCAGGGTTAAGACTTCATCTCCTGCTGCCAGCAGTGCTTGTTATGCTCCTTAGGGTAGGTACATCCTTGGCTGCTCTCTTAGGAGACCACCACAGTCCTGACAACTGCCCAGCTGAAGCCAATGATGGTGTCATAACTGCTGCAGGTGTCCATTCGGAAAGGCTTCTGGGAAGTCTGTTCATAGCTGCGTCCCTGAGCCATTAGCCCCCTTACTACCCTGGGCTAGGAGAGCCGAGCCCAGAGAATTCTGCTGAACGTGTCTTTATCTAGGTTATCCCTCTGGCCCAAGTAAGGGAAGATTGGTTCCTTGTTCCTTTTGTTCTTTTTCTTTCTTCTCAGCAGAGAGTTTGACCCCTACATGAATCTGTGGAGTAGAAAGGCTTCGCTTTTCTTTTCTTTTTTTTTAATGGAAAGGCAAAAGCAAGATTGGTCTGTTTGCAAATTAGAGCCCAAACAGAGGAGGAGTTTTTCCTCAAGATTAACTTTGTCACAGCTTGGAGGATATGAAATGAAAGCTCTAATGGTGTGCTTTCCAGAACCCAAAGGAAGCAGCAGTGGTTATGGCTCTGGAACAAGTGCCCTGCAGCCCAAGGGAGGCCTCTTTCAAGGAGGAGTGCCGAAGCTCCGACCTGTGGGAGCCAAAGACGTTTCAGGTATCTGATAAAGACTTTTTTAGAATATTTCCCAAGTGCATCAGTTTCTGACTGGTCCCAGGTAGTCCATCTGGGGTTGAGGAGTGTGGTAGAGGTGGGAGGAAGAAGTGGGACCAGGGGTGGAGTTACAGAGTAAAAATAAAGCAAAGGCATTAAATAAAAATGTATTCAGTTTATATCAACAGTATTTGTTAACGGTTCCTGAGTGAGGTTAAAACCCAGTGCCATACAAACATTGTACTTTCCCTGCTGCTGTGCAGGGAAATGAGGCTGGGTGGGTTAGAGATCTGACCAACATATCTCCAGCTCTGTTGACCCAGTGCTGTCTCATCTGTTTGTAGAGAACCTAGCTTGTAAGCCAGCCCTGCAGATCCCCAGTTCTCGAGCTGCTGCCCCAAGGCCTCCAATGTCTACAGCCAGTGGGCGCCCTCAAGATGATGCGGACAGCGGCCGAGCCTCACTCCCAGAACTGCCCCGGATGCAGAGACCTTCATTACCGGACCTCTCTCGGCCTAATGCCACCAGCAGTACGGGCATGAAACACAGCTCCTCTGCCCCTCCCCCGCCACCGCCAGGGCGGCGTGCCAATGCGCCCCCTACATCTCTGCCTATGCACAGCAGCAAAGCCCCAGCCTACAACAGAGAGAAACCCTTGCCGCCCACACCCGGACAAAGGCTACACCCTGGTCGAGAGGGACCTCCGGCTCCACCCCCTGTCAAACCACCTCCTTCCCCTGTGACTCTCAGAATGGGACCAAGTGGCCAGTCTCTGGCTCCTCCTCCTCCGCCTTACCGCCAGCCTCCAGGGGTCCCCAATGGACCCTCCAGTCCCACTAATGAGTCAGCTCCTGAGCTGCCACAGAGACACAATTCTTTGCATAGGAAGACACCGGGACCTGTCAGAGGCCTAGCACCTCCTCCACCCTCTTCAGCCTCCCCTTCTCTACAGAGTAATAGGCCGCCTCCCCCAGCCCGAGACCCTCCCAGTCGGGGAGCAGGTAAGTGCCTGCAGCACCTTTTTTTCCTTTCATACTGAGTGAGAGCCGAGCTTATTTGTTCTCTTCACTCTTTTCCCCAAAGCTCTCCTTTAGTGATTGGAGATAAGAATTCACCTACTCATTCAATAGGTTTATTGAATGCCTTTTTGTGTGTCAGTCTCTATTGTTATGGAAACAGCAATGACTAGAAAATGTAAGAAATTCTTGTTCTCTTGTATAGTCAAGCAAATAAATTAGTAAAAAAAAAATTAGGCTATATATATATATATATATATATATATATATATGGTCTGTCCAGAAGATATCCTGACATGTAATATGAAAAACAGAGACATTTATTGAAGAAGATACAAGAAACATTGTACATAGGACAGTGATGCCTCAGTCCCCTTCAAAGTAGGCACCTTGGGACCTCACACAGTTCTCCCAGTCGGCATTGGCTGCCCTGTCATATTTTTCTGAATCTCATCAATGGTCTGAAATCTCTTCCCCTTCAAAGGTGATTTTTAGTTTTGGGAAAAGCCAGAAATTGCAGGATGCCAAATCTGGGCTATAGGGGGCTGAGTCACCTGGGTGATTTGATGTTTTGCCAAAAAAACTGCATGAGACATGATGCATGAGCAGCCACGTTTTCGTGATGAAGCTGCCAGTCACTAGTTGCCCATAGCTGCAGACTTCTGAGTCATTCGAATAGTTTCCATGGAGGAATGTTCAAGCTTAACGCAAAATTTGATGCAGATTTGTTGTTCTACTTACTCATGGTGAATGCGGCAGCCACACGGTACACACGCTCACTTAATGGTGTCTACCACCCCCGCTGACTAATGCAGTGAAGTCACCGTTGTTCACACTTGTCTTGTTCCTTCCAGTCCACTCTCCTTGGCTGCCAGGTTGCATTGATGTCACACAGACCATTCTCATTATATTAACAATGGTTGGACTTTTCCCAGATAGACCATGTACACACACATACATACATACATACATTCATACATACATACGTTCGTGTGTGTGTGTGTATGTGTTTAGTTTATAGGTGCTTTAGAGAAATACAAGCAGAGAAGGGGGATAGGATATACTGGGGTGAGGGTAGGGTGATATTTCTAATTGTAGGGGTGGGGTGGAGTGGGGTGGGGTAGGATCAGGAAGGAGTTGCTGATAAAGGGACGATTTGGCAAAGACCTGAAGACAGGGAATAAGTTAGGCAGGTGTTGAGCAGAGCAAATACAAAGGCCCTGGGATGGGACTAGAATGAGTGAGGGGCAGAGTGGCAGAACCGGGGGTCGGGAAGCTGGATTTCCACGGGAGAACATTGTAAGATGTGGTAAGACTTTGGGTTTTACTTTATCGAGATGGGAAGCCACTGGAGGGATTGGAACAGAGAAGTAGCATTGATTTACCTTTTAAAAAGAGCGCCAGCTCCTATGTTGAGCACAGGTTGCAGGAAGACAAAAGTTGCAAAAGGAGACCACTTAGGAGGCTGTTGTCAGAAACTGGGCAGGTGGGTAGGACCATGGCAGGTTTGGGGAAAAATGGGTATTTGGTTTTGGACAACTGAAGTTTGAGATGCTTATGACTTTCAAAAGGAAGTGATTGGTGATTGGCTGTCAAACTCTGAAGTTCAGGGAAGAGAGGTCTGAGCTAGAGAGAGAAACCTGAAGGATCCCGTAAACCACATGCTCGGTAAGATCACTTAGGGAGAGGGTATAGAGAAGAGGTCTAAGGCCTGGGGCCCTAATTAGAGGTCAGATGAAGAACGCCAAGCAGAGAAAGCTGAGAAAGAGCCTCTAGTGAGGGAGGAAGGAGTGAAGTGAAGACAGTGACAGAAAAACTCCAAGACTGAGTGACCCAGAAAGCTGTCACGGTCTCCTCTCTTGACGTTCAGTCATACTGTTTTGTAAAAAGAATATACAGTCTCCTCCACCTATTCCAGGGTATGCGCAGTGCTACTGCTGGGTCAGTGAAGTTGAAGCCTGCGAATGACATTGGTCTCAGCAACATGGGAGTCCTTTTTGGGGACCCCAAATAACATGGGACCTTTTGGGGTATTGGGGGAGCGGTGGAGGGAAGGTGAAAGTGTAAGTCTGATTGGAGTGGGTTTACAAATGCAGGAATAGGAGGGGAATTGGAGATAACACTATAGAAATCCCTTAAGGAGTTTTCTGTAAAGGGGAGTAAGGGGTGCAGATAGATGAAAGGGTTGCTGGAGGAGGATGTGGGATTGAGAGTTAGACTTTCTCCCTCCCAAGATGGGAGGTATTTCACTATTTGTTTGTGTACTGATGGAATGATCCAGCAGAGAGGGGGAAGATTGCCTGGGTAATGTCCTTGAGGAGGCAAGAAGGAATGGAATGTGATCCATAGGTAAGGGGTTGGCCTTAGATAAGAATACAGGTAGTTTGCCCTGGCCAGGTAGTTCAGTTGCTTCGAGCGTCGCCCTGATACACCAAGGTTGTAGGTCAACAACTCAATGTTTTCTCTCTCTAAGTAAAAAACAAAAGAGCCCACACAGATAGTTCGTCCATAGTAACAGGAGGGAAGGCAAAGCATATAGGCGTAGAAGCAAGTGGGTAGAGGGTGTGCAGTGGCTGTGGGGTAGGAGCATGTGAAACGTTTCTTCTTGTTTGCTTCTGTTTTCTTGGTGAAATAGAAAGCAAGGTGAGGGAGATTTAAGGAGAGCATATAGGCACGAAATGGTCATCTGGGAGCTTGAGAGAGTGAATGGAGTAAGGAAGTGTGCTTAGGATAACCCGGAACATGAAAGGCCCACTCAGACTAGGGTTCATCCAGTTAGAGTGAGGTTAGTCAGCTCAGTGTGTGTTCAGCTATGCATTAGCAGGTACTGAGTCCCAGCAGAGCTGTATTTAGGGATTAGCATTTTGTAGGCACTTCTGTGTGAGGCGAGGGAATTAAGGGTGAGTAAGGAAGTGATTGTAACAATAGACCGTGGTCCTAAGCTGGGTAAGAAGGGGACTGAGGAACCCTAGAAGAGATAGATGAGATTGTGTATTCTTAAGATTTTATTTATTTATTTTTAGAGAAGGGAAGGAGACACATTGACGTGTGATAGGTTGCCTCTTGTATGCCCCCAAATGGGGACCTGGCCTGCAACCCAGGTATGTGCCCTGACTGGGAATCACACGGGTGGCCTTTCTGAGCACCAGCCAGGGTGAGGCTGGGTGTTCTCGTTACACAATAGCCTGACTGAAAGGAGAGTGAGGGAGGCCGTGACAGTTGTCCGGGGCTTTCTTAGACCCAAAGATTTTGACTCCCTCATCCTCTTGTATCATTGGATTTTGATCCATATCTTCCACAAAAGGCTTTTGAACTTTTATTTTGAACAGTCAGTTCCTATAGCTGTAGATCATTGATTAAGGAGTTATGTCACCAGGAAGCATGAATTAAAAGCCCATTAACCCGTGCTGCTGCTTGGCTAGGCACCCAGAGATTTGTACTGTAGGAGCTGGCGGTCTAAAACGTAAGGTTATCAGCCAGTAACCTTGTACTTCCCTGACTCCTTATCTCCCTGGCCTTAGCCATAAGGATATATATAGTCCTGAGGTAGCCTTTGATTCTACAAAGTTTAGGTTAAAATTATTTTTTCACTTAAGAATTTTTTTTAAAAGACCCTTTATCTGAGCAGACTCCTTATCTCTCTAACTGTAAGTGGAGAAAAATGTAATTTCTGTGGATTGAACTGAGTAGTTTTAAATGCCTGCAGACTTCTTGCTCCCGCTTCTCAGTTCTTTCTTTATGGTTTCTTTAGAAATATGTGTCATTTACATTATTTTCTGTCACCAACTCAGGTCTGGCAGAGGCCTCAGCCTGCTTTCTGTATCAGTAACCAGAACAGCAGTTCTTAAGAGTGAGACACACCCAAACACACACACACAAATTGAGATACTTTAGTCAGAGATCTTTGGAGCATTGGCTCTATTTGTTGTGTGACATTGGGCTGATCTCTCTGATTCTCTGACTTTATTTCCTTATCTGTTAAATGGTGTTCACAGTGCTTTCAGAGGTGGTTGTAAATAAAAAGGTACTGTATTTTGCCATGTATAACGTGCTTCCGTGCATAATGCGCACCCATGTTTTGTGCATATTATACATGGGATTATTATACCATGGTATGTACTCATCATACCCATGTATAATGCGCATCTTTATTTTTCCCTCAAATATTTGGGCAAAAATGTGTGCATTATACACAGCAAAATATGGGTATGTGTGAAAGTGCTTTATAAACTGTTGTATGTTGATGCATGTTAGAGATTTTATGAAAGGACTTCTAGGTACTTCATAGACTTATCTCTATTATTAACTTATATTATGACAATATTATGTGATAATGTGTTTTTGTTCCTATATGAATTATTTACATTTGAAGGAATATGACTCTTTCACCTTCTCGGGATGCTCAGGGACCCAAAAAAATCCTCAAATTATTGGTCCACAGACTTTGTATCCTGAATTTTTTTCCCTTGCAGAGTAAAACACTATTTTTAAGGGAACTTTTTTCTTCTTCTTAAAAGGCTTGATCCCACTGTGCTTTCCTCAAAGTTGGTTTTTTAAAAAGTATATTTTATTGATTATGCTATTAGAGTTGTCCCTTCCTCCCCCCCCGCCCCCCGCTTACTCCCCTGCACCCTATATCCCCCTCCCACCAGCATCTCCCCGACCCCTGTCCTTAGATCATGTCCACGGGCTGTAGAAGCTGGGCTTTTCTTGGGTCACAGAAGGCAGGCTCCCACTCCGGGCTTTCTTTTACACACTGCTTGTTTCTAAGGGTCCTTGGATTCCGGCTCTGTCACTTGAAAGAGTCTTAACACTAGATGTTCCAAAGAGCTCAGAAACTTACCAGAGGTGGCAGACCCTCGCTGGGTTGACCATCCCTGAGGGAGGGAGCTGAAGGGATCCAAGTGCTCTTGGTCTGGCTCTGTTTCATCGGTCCGGGTTGGCTCTAATCACTGGCATCTGCTCGATGTCTAGCTGGTGTCCTTTTAAGCCCAGCTCATTTGTCTACAGTGCTAGGAGTAGGTACAAGTTCTCAGGGCCCTGAGAAATCCGGGTTTTAGGGAAGTATTTTGAGGATGACCTGAAAGAGCTTCAGTTTGGACAGATTTGGAATAAAAACAACGTTCAGAGGTCTGCTGGGAGATACTAAGATTTCCCTTCAACTATTGCTTCTAATGGCCTCTGTCCATACTTAGACCTTAAAAAGAACAAGGGAGAGTTGACGTTCTGAGTCTGTCTTATGGAACGTGAAAACTAACATTCACTGAGTCTGCTGTGCCAGACTCCTCATCTATGTACATCACCTTGTTACTGGTTCATGCTTCATTATGTTTACAGAAATTCTGACAATAATTTAGGAGGAATAGTAAGATATACCCATATTACTAAAACAGTATTGTCTATTAAGCCTAATAGTCTCTCCATGTATTATTATTAGTATATAATAGGCCTCCAGTAGGAGACGCATGAGAGGCAACCACACATTGATGTTTCTCTTCCTCACTTTCTCCCTCCCTTCCCTCTGTCTGAATAAAATAAAATAAATTAAAAAGAATAGGTAGAGTCCTTGACTGACTTGAGAAATGAAAAAGGGTCACACATTTATTCTGAACTTTGGTATCTGGAAGAATGGTGATGCTGTCGAAGAAACAGGGATGAGAGGAGGGTGAATATGACGTTTAACATGATGCTTAGAGTCTCACAGAGCTTATACATCCAGACCTAAGTGCTTTGGATTTAATTGCAGCTCCTCCACCCCCACCACCCATGATCCGAAATGGTGCCAGGGATGCTCCCCCTCCCCCACCACCACCATACCGACATGGGTCAGAACCTCTGAGCCGAGGAAAGCCCCCACCTCCGCCCTCAAGGACGCCAGCTGGGCCACCACCTCCTCCTCCTCCACCTTTGAGGAATGGCCACAGAGATTCTATTACCACTGTCCGATCTTTCTTGGGTAAGTAGCTAGCAGTTTTAGTCTCATAGGTCCTGTGATGACTTAATAATTCCAGTGGCCATGGTAGAATGGAAATGGTCATTTGATATCCGTTGTTCACAGCAGTTTCTCTCCTGACTTTACCTCTGACTTCTAGGCCCTATCCACTGACATCCCTTTACTTATGCAAATTGTAGCTATGGTTGCTTTGGGACAGATTGAAATGCAGTCAGCAGGTGTCATGCTAACTCTGAAGCCATCTCTTGCTCCCCAAGGATCATTATCTGTGGTTACATTTTAAGTCAGGGACTTCACTTCTTCAGGATTATCCAGACAGGAAGTACATATTCTCCTAAGAAGGAGAACTCCTTTCTAGCCCTTTAAGAACAAAACAAACTTTCCTTCCAACTTGGGCCTGGCATAAGGGCTCTCACAAAAAAGGGCGGTGAGAAGGGCCGCTCTGCCGTCAGTGTGGTAATGACCAGGGAATACACAGTCCACACTCACAAGTGCTTCCTTGGAGTGGGTTTCAGGAAGCACGCCCCTTGGGCACCCAAAGAGATCTCGAAATTTGCTGTGAAGAAGATGGGACTCCAGATGGACTCACTGGTACAGACTCAACAAAGCTGTCTGGATCAAAGGAGTAAGGACTGTGCCCTACCATAATGAGGAGGAAGATTCACCGGACAAGCTCTCTACGTTGGTTACCTACATACCTGTCACTGCTTTTAAAAAATCTGCAAACATAACATGGATGAGAACTAACTGCTGATTGTTGAATAAAGTTACAGAACTGCCCCCCCCCACACACACACACATTATGAACATAATGTTTATCTAGTAATCCAAAGCCGCTAACCAGCTTTGTTACTTTGAGGAAGTTGCTTCACTTCCCTGGGTCTCACTTCCCTTATCCAAGAAACCAGGAGGTTGACTGGATCAGGAGTGCATCAGATTAACTTTTCCAAAGTATCAATGAATCTTAGGCCCCACCTAAGAGATTTTTTTTTTTTTAAGCAAAAGTTTATTTAGAAAGTCACAGAGGTAGAAAAGGTGAGCCAGCTGGGCTGCATGGGCTCAGGAAACAAGTTGCAGAAGCAAAAGAAGGGCCCTTGGAGCTTAGGAAAAAGAAGGGCAGAGAGAATGCACCTGCGGGTGGGAGAGGGGAAAGGCTCCCCACCCTGCTCCAAAGAGAGAGAGTGCGCTGCCCTGGGGAAAGAAGGGGGCGGGGAAAGGCGCTGGCATACTTGAGAGGGAGAATGCCCTAAGAAATTCTAATTTGTTAGGTCTGGAATGGAGTCCCAAGCAAAGGTTCCTCAGAAGGTATCATTAGACCCTCTGTTGAGGACTCCTGGAAAGATCTGTACGATCCCTTTCAGGCCTAACACTGGATTCTTGCGTGGTTGCCTCTTCTCTGCTCTTACTCTAGTAAGAGTATTCTGATTAGGTGGAACAGGGTTTTTGCTTTGAAGAGAAGTCCTTTGGAATGTCATCAAGCCACACTCGGCAAACATTTGAGCCTTCTTGTAGAGGGGCCACAGGGAAAGTGGGAGCAGGGGCCACGAGGTGACTGTCCCAGCTGTGTTGCAGAGCTAAATGAGGGTAACCTGGGCCAAAAGGGAATTAATTATCTGGTCAACCCTCTCTTTAGTGGGTGACAAGTATTCCCATTTTTGGTTAATTTCTACCAATTTGTTATTTCAGTTCAGTTGATTTCCCATGGTGATAGTCTCTAAGATGACTGTTAAAGAACTATATTTCTTTCTCCTCCCATGCAAGCAGCTGAGCTCCTTTCCTTTCACATGCCTGATTTTTGGTGGAAATGTTTTAAAAACCTCTATGCATACGAGGCACATAGAGTGATGCTTTCGTTGTCCTCAGGAAGCTTGGTTAGTGGGGAAGGCAGGCCCTCGGGTACATTAGAGGGCACAGAGACTGGTAAGGGGAGGGTCAGAGGTGGTACGGGGGGTGCGGGAACGTGAGGAAGGGTCAAGCAAAATGAATTAATATTCTGTTCCTTTTGTAGATGATTTTGAGTCAAAGTATTCTTTCCATCCAGTAGAAGATTTTCCCGCTCCAGAAGAATATAAACACTTTCAGAGAGTATATCCCAGCAAAACAAACCGAGGTGAGAAGGGTAGTCATGAAAGTTTTTCCATAATTGCATAGAAAGTAGAATTGGTGTGTTTTTCTTTGGTTCAAATTTGCTTCTCCTCATCTGCATTTTCTTTAAAAAAAAAAAAAACAAACAAAAAACAAAAAACATAGCACGCAAATTCTAAAGGTTAGCTTGAAAAACCTGTCTCATTTTAGGGATGTTTGGGTTATTTGGGACCTGGTGGGTGACCTTGCGTTTGTGGTTTTTATTACGTTTTTCAGCTGCCCGTGGAGCCCCACCTCTGCCACCCATTCTCAGGTGAAGCCTGGCTTGGTCCTGTTCCTCAGGAAAAGGATGGACCCTCTCCTCTTCTCAGACGGTCCCTCCCACCCCCCTGAAACCTGCATGAGAACCCCTAATGTGTTTCTCCAGTGCAGCCAACCTCTAGACTCCAAGCGTCCTCCCAGCTCACCTCCATCTATGCATCTTGTCTTCTGGACTTGGTGATTGGACTCTCTGTATTGACAGCAGGGTCTCAAACCCTGCATCCATCCCTCCGCTAGCAATCCCTGCCAGCCAGATGAGGAAAAAGCTTCCATGTCGCCTGCTTCCCTCGTGGGGAAAGGTGCCTTGTTGTGATGAAGTAACTCCTTGTTGGGGCAGGGTGGAGAAGAGCGCTCCTGCCTCCTCCTGCCCACTTTGGGGGAAGCTTGGCGGGCGCATTTCACCGTTTAGGAGGCTGACATGGCCAGGACTTGGGGGGGTGGCATTTTTTAGTGAAACAAGAAAGGGGTTTGCAGAGAAGTGATCTGTTTTAAAGGTCGAGTTTGGAGAAAGGGCAAGAGAATGGGTCTGCTTTATTTTTAGGGGTATTTTGGTTTTTTGCTCTTACCCCACTCCATACCCTCACTCCAGGGATAAGTTTGATGTAAACACTAAATACTAATCAATGGAACTAAACAGCTAATAAAAAGAGAGGGTAACATAAACTGGGGAGCCTTTTAGTGCTAGGCAGTTCCTCTGCAGCAAAGGGACCAGGAGCCAGCTGAGTCCTCGGGGACTCCCCGCCCCATTTCCTCAGGGCGCTGAGGCTGAGGGGTGCGCTTCCTCCCCCCACCACTCAGACCCTGAGGAGAAAAGTCACTTTCATTCATTCCAGATTCATAAGCTCCAGAAACTTCCAGTGGGAAATAGGAAGATAGGGCCGGGGTCTTGGCCTTAACCTTGACCTTGACCCCACCTCAGTCTTTTCTGACTGGCCCTGAAGGACACTGGTCCTTTCAGTCCTGTCCAGAAACTTCAGCCCCTGTTGGGTGCTCCATGATGACGAAGAAGGGAAGGCTGAAGCTTGTAGCGTTCACAGCCTGCTGACTGAACAGGCTCTTCCTGTTCCTTTTCGCCACCCTTGCCTTTCCAAGACTACAGGGGTTAACAACAGAGTCGAGGAGGGCGAGGAAGTTTGTGGGCGTAGTCAAAGATTCCTCTGCGCCAAGCCCAGAGACTTAGGAGAGAGATGCGTGTCCCAGCCCAGCTGACACTCTTTGGCAGCTAGCAACAGGTGGTCCGCTCATCTTCCAGGCCCCAGGTAAAGAACGGAGGGGAAAGGGAGGCTCCCCATCCTGACACGAACTGAGCTTGGATGACGGGGCAGGGATTTCCCCTTCGCAGACGGTGCAGCAGGGCTCCTGGGCCCCACGCACAGGTGGTTGGTTTCATGCCAGCTCTGGCCACGTGCAGAGGCTGCTCAAAGCTTGGAGTGAGAACAGCAAGGCCATGGCGGTTCCTCGAAACGGTTGGGGAAAGTCAGTGTAAAAATTTCCCCACATACATCACAGGCTTGAACTACCGTAGGGCCTTCGCAGTTCATTGGATCGCAGCCCAGGGATCTGTGCGGGTGCCGCGTGGCACCCGGGTCTCCCCAGTGCTGGAAGAGAGGACTGAGCCTGGGCTATGGGGATGGGGTCTGCTATCCCCCGTCCTCCCCTGGGCCATGTTGGCTCCTGGGACAAACAGTGGCTAGGTCTATCATCAGACTTTTTCTGACCATCATCATTCTTACTTTCAAATCTGTTAGTAGTTACCTCCCAGCAATATCCCTGGCATCCTGAAGTGAACGGAGCTGAGAGCGGGAACGCTCGTGGAGGGAGCAGGAGCGAGTACAAGGGTGGGCACTGCAGCAGAGTTCCAGGGTAGATGCTGACCAGTTACGAAACTTGGACTGTGAAGTCTTCCCATTTATTTTTGAAATGGGAGTTGATGCCTTTTGTACAATGTTATCAAAGTGTATTTTTTTCCCCTTTCCTCAAACATAGAGCATCAAAATAAGTATCACAAGTAAAAGCCAAACCCCAGCTTTTCACTGGGGCTGATACCTTCCTTCCCTGTTACCTGCTGCCCCTCATGTTCCCCAACGCTTGGACTGTGTCACATGAGTATTGATGTATTTTTATTTTCTTGGCCTCATGAAAAAAGGCCTGGGTCTAGATCTAGTCAGATGCATTTTCTTCAGCGCATGTTGGTGACACAGTACTTATTTAACTGTCTTTGCCTTATACATTATTTGGTCCCTCTGTTAAGAACAGATTTATTATCATGTATATTTACTATCGAAGAATGGGAATGTGATCCTCATAGTCATTGATCTATTTTGTATGTTGTAAAAAGCTTGTAATATAGATTTAAGGTGGGCTGGCTGCAAGAGCACTGAAACTTCTCACCTTTTAAACTCCTCTTTTTACCTGCTTATGGGAATGTCGTCTCTTCAGTGAAAGATTGGGTGGTCTCATGTTGAGGCTGTTGCCCAGTCCCGTTAGTCCCCCTATCTGCTCCCAGAAGGAGGAGACATTGCCCATCTAAGCATCAGGAAGCTGCGTTAAAAGCCCTTGTGTGGGTTTGGTTCTATGATGTTTTCCTCTAGCGGGGAAAACTTAATACTGTAGTTGTTTCTTACCGCCCTTTGTGGGGAGCAGGGCAGTGGCCTCCAGGTTTTTTAACCAGCTAGATGCCCCTCTTCCCCCTTCTCTGGTCACCAAACCTGGGTCAGAGCACTTTGATGTTCCAGGTGTGGTTTTCTCTATCATGGGGATTTCCTCCAGCAGCAGCACCCCATCATTTTCACAGCCTGGGGCCACAGAGAGAGCATCTGTGGCTACCCCACCCGGTGGGTGTGAAGCTGCTTCTCCAGAAAGCACCCCAGCCCTCCCCGCTGGCAGAGGAAGACTAGCCACTGGGCATTGCGCTGGGGGCACCCCCTCACCCCGCAGCTGTCCAACTTGAAACCCAAATTTACCTCCAGGGAGAGGTGAGAAAAAATTGTAAATAGACTTGCTACAGAGCAACTCAGGTTGGGGTGTGTTTTAATTCTCCTGATCACTTGAAATAATCTGTAGGCTGAGTGCTGAGGGGAGCGGGGGAGAGTTATGACTCCAGGGTCTTCTGCGAAGCTCTGGGGGTGGAGTATAGGGCGTCCGAGGCCCTTTAATGGCACTACACTGAGCTGTCTGTCCTTCTGGAAACCCAACCTACAATCAACTGCAAATCAAATTCTTCACATTTCAGTTGTAATTTCTTTCCCTATTAAATCTCAGTCCCTGGCTATGCAGTCAGGGTAGCTTTCTGTAAGCCACCTTAACCTAGGGAATGGAAGGCATTCTAGCTCTGCCTTCAAGACTCATTGAAATGAAACAAAACTACAACCACCTTCAAAACATATACAAAAATAAAGAAAGGATAACTTTAACTGAAGAAAAGGTTTGGTTCCATCCACCTCCACGTTCATTGTGCCTTTACTTGTGTTAGATTTCTGTGCTTTCTTCCTCTCTCCCTCTTTGAAGCAATTAAAATCTTCCTTGATAACAGCTGTTTCCTTCTTTCTACTCTTATTTCTAACATCTTAGTGGGTTCTTTAATTGTCTTAAATCTCACTCCACTGATGGTAGAGGGGCAGGGGCAAGCCTACTTTTCTCAGATCTTTTATCATTTCCTAAGACAACCAGCATGGAAGTCATAGTCAACACTGAATAAAAGACGAGAATGGCATGTGTGAAGAGTATGAATGTGTGTGTATGTGTCCATCTTTGTCTGCATGTGGGTCAATTTCTTTTAAAAAATAATTTATTGTATGATATATTTTGGAGTTATATTCTGATTACACTGCTCCCTCTCCCAATTAGCATTGATTTTTTTCATCCCTGTCTAAAATATATAATCCAGTCTCATGTTGGATTCTTTGGTACATTTGTTTCTTCTGGGTGCTGTGCAGTTTAATTAAACCATGCTTAAAAACAACAACAAAAAGCTGAAAACTGTGTACTCTTGTCTGAAATACCGCCTCATGTGGTGGCAAAGAGAGGAGAGAATATCTGTTGCCTCCTATGCCAGACTCTGTAGTGGTTTGAGTCCACGTCCTCTGAGGAAGTTGATACACTGACTTGGGCAGGAGCATCTGCAGCTTCTTAAGGGTTTTCTCTCCTCCCTTCCTGCTGTATTTTGAAAATCACAGTTAGTCCTAGGTAGCCATGCTGACTGTGTGATTTTGATAAAGTTGGTCATTATTTATATTTGCTACCTAACTGCCCTTTGCCTATGATTTCAGGAAACCCAGGACGCCTTCTAGCCTTGTGTCCTTTCTCTATATCCCTTATGATTCTTCTTTGTTGCATAGCAGATTCTCACACTGAGGTGCAGAAGGAAATATGGGGCAGAGCATGCAGACTGTGTGTGTCTGTTTTTATGTTGGTGTTCGCTGTTTTTCCTCACCGCTTTTTAAGTTGAAGTCTTAACTGGCTTTCTTGAACTTTGACTTTAGGTGTAAAAGTTAAACCAGACATTCTCTGCTTACTATGGTCAGCTGACATAATCGCCACAAAGACTTAATGAGCTTAAACTTGCACTTTCATCACTAGCAAAGGCCTTGAAATTGTCTCCCTTACTGATTCATAATGGGTGTGTGTATGACTCACTCATATAATTTAGATACCAAAACTTATGAGGCTGAGGGGGGGAGGACAAAAAAGGGGGCTCCTTTCATTTCCATCCATACTTGCCAAATTGGCTGGATTCCTGATTATTTCACCCATCATTGTTATTAATATGATTAATAAACTACCTATTTATTGATTTAATTGTTCCTCCTGTGACTTTCAATAGCCTTCAAATGGAGCTTGCCTAAGCGACCCTCAACCTCTAATGCTCTAAGGTATAAGCCGCCTCCATCCTATTAGGATGGTATTGCTAGTGTGTGTGTGTGCGCGCGCGTGCACTCACGGCAGGATGCTGGGCAGGTCTTTCCACTGTGATTCAATTCCTTTCCCCATGATACTGTGTATAAATTAGCAGATAATAAAGACAACAGTTTGCCCACTTTAATTATTACTGAGACACTGCTGCTCACTGAATGTGCTTCTTAAGTACCTTCTGGCCCAACCCAGCCACAAACTGCGACTCACTGCAAAGAACACTGCTTGTTTCTGACTTCCTATTACTCTGCAAAGGTAAGAGAACTGAAATGTCAACCTCAGAATCCTAACCCCCCCCACCCCCCAGAGAATCACTATGGGGAAAAATGCTTCACCTGTGACATCACTGGAGCCCAGTCTGGATCATGTTTACAACATACTTGAATATATGCTCCACTTCCAGGTTTAGGTGTGTGAGATTTAAAGCGCTATATGGTATCTGTCCACAAAAAGTGTTCACGAAAAAGGTGGATACCAAGTTTGCAGGAATGTCCTTTCCATTCAGCAAGCATTTATCGCATACTTCACTCTGCCAGGCATCTACATTATGAAGATGATTAGGACATCGCCTGTACTTCCAAGGAGCTCACCGTCTAGAAGATTTCAGGACAGCTACCCCGAGGAACCTGTGCAGACTATTAAAAGGCCTTCTGGTAATTAGTCAGAGAAGGCGGATGGCGAGCAGTATTGCAGACAGCGGAAAGAGCAAGGCCAGGACTGGAAGCAAGAAACAGCCTGGTGGAATGCACATCATGTCACTGGGGTGTTGGTAGGGGAAAGCGTCAAGTAGGCAACCTTTTAGAGACCTTTCAGTCCTGACATTGTGTGATTCTCTGCCTGCTTCCGCAGTGGTCATTCACTCTTGTAGGCTTTTTTTGGACCAGTGCTATATTTGCTGGTGAGAGTTTTCGTAGCTCCAATATGCATGTTAGGTACTGATAGTTTCCTCTGCTCCCTCCCACTGTAACTGAGGGCGGTGGTTCACCACCATCCCTTAAAGCTGGCTGGGCACATGTTACCATTTCACGTTACCAAGAACAATTTTTAGATGCCCAGGTTATAAAAATAAACACCAACAGTATAGGCTGCTGCTTAGGTTTTATTGCCCTATTAAGAGAACAGAAATACCAGCTGGATGAAAGCCTCCATTCTAGGATAACACTTTGTACATTCATGGCTGCCCAATCTCTTCACTGTTATGGTTTTCAGCTCCTAGAAAGCTTTCCTAAAATGCGCTCCTTCAGCATCTCTTCCTATTGGAAAGGCCACTTTAGAAGCTGCATCTAATTCTCCCCCCAGTTTAAGTGGTCAAGAGTTTGATCTACCAGACTTCCTGAGTTCAAATTCCAGCTCTTCCATTTACTAGTTCTGTGAACTTGGGAATTTACTCAACCCCCTCTATTTCTATCTCCTCATTTGTCAAATGGAAATAATACCCATTTCATGGGATGCTTGTGAGAAATGATAAGGTGATATAGGTAAAATGCTTGAGCTCAATCCCTGGAATGCACTTAAGCACTCAGTATTGGCTTTTATCCCCTATATGAACTAACTACAATTAACTGATGATTGTAATATTGTTTTCCTATTTCCCAGCTTTATTGCTCTATTTTATTTGATATTGAAGGATGAAAGATAAATGCCTACCATCACCTAGAATTGGGTTTTGGCCTTTAATGGAACCTGAGGCTTAGCTGCATTATTAGCTTTGGAAGCTAGCCTGTAAATTACTGCTCTAATTTATATTTTTCATTAAAAGCTCAGCTTGCCTCTTCTATAGCAGTCTTCTCTGGCCCTGAAACCCTAGTGTTTAGCCATTAAAGAAAAAAAAAAGATTTTAAAATTACAGGGTCATAATTCTTTCCACTCCCCACAGTGTTGACTAATTGGATTGATGATAAGAAGATACACAAACTGTATTCTTAACCTTTAACAAAATAAAAGCAAAGGCCTGGCTTTATTTCACTCCTTTGAAATACAAATAAGGGTGATACGATATTGAAGTGTAGTGTATTTCTTTGTACATGTGTACACAAAAAATCATTGGTTTGGGTGTTAGGAAACCTTCAACAAGATGCTGTGACCTGTAATTAACCCTTTGCACATTTGATTTGTGGCTTGCAGGGTTGAGAGTTAGATTGCCTAGCATCATACCTGGCACCCAGAACCACCCCAAAATGGTAGGTATTATATAACTACTCTCTCAAAGTGTAGCCCATTAGGATAATGAAAGATGCGTAAATGCAGCAGTTAGAAGGGGCAACAACATCTTCACAACTCCCTTCGAGAGAAAGGCGTAGAAATAGAGTCGCATGAGGCAAAGACTACATCTCCCGCCGGGCTTTGCGGCATGTACAGTTCTTACCCAGAGCCGCTCCCTCCGCTACCGCGAGTCTTTCCGCGGAGGTCCCGGATGTAGCTAGGCTCTTTGCTAAGTGGGCGTGGCTCACGGGAGTGCTGGGACTCGGGGCTCTCTTATTGGTTGTCGAGTGGACCCGAATGATAGGGTGGGTGTTGGCCAAGGCGCGCGGCACTCAGACGACAGCCAATCAGAAATCTGGCCGGGCTTTGGCGGGAGGCCGGAAAGCTAAAGTTGTGCAGATTTGGCGCGAGCGCGTCTGGGCTTTGCTGCTGTTGGTTTGTTCAGGGACTTGTTGGGAATAATCCCTGACGCCGTGTGCGAGAAAGGTGAGAAGGACCCGGCATTGAGGTGTCGCAGCCCTGTGGGGTGGAGAGGGTGGGTTTGCTCCGGGAGGCCTGGGGTCAGGGGAGGAAGCGCAGTCGGGTGGCAAGGCCCGCAGGTACCGATGACGCCCGAGGTGAAACGAGAGGAGGAGAGCTCAGTTATCGGGAGATTCGGTCGGGTAGGGGGAAGAGAAACGTGCGTCCTCGGAGTAGTCTGGCGGTTGTGCGTAAGTGAAGGAGCTGCATGTTGTCGGATGGAGGTGTCCCGGCGAGGAGTTGAGAGTTGTGCAGAGTGAGATCTCGGGGGATGGGGGACAGTAAACGTGGAAGGTTGCTGAACGAAGCTGGTGATAAAGCTGTACCCCGAAGCTGGGGTGACTGAATTTAGAAGTACCGTAGAAATCAATCAAGATAAACACCGCATCGCTCAAGTGGGTAAGAACTTGGAGCCAGGGTGCCTGGTTTGTTGTAACTTTGGGCCTCTGTGCCTGTCAGTCTTCTCATCTTCAAGGTCATTTTAATAATAGTACCTCCTTTAAGGTAGTTGTGAAACTTAGATGAAACAATACCTAAAATGTTTATAACAGCTTCTTAAACATAGTTGGTAGACACGTTTTTGCTATTATTGCATAGATTTGGATGGGAAGCAGAACTGAATGCTAAAATATTGTTATAATTTACTAGTGGAACAAGTGTTGATCATCGGTATAAATGCCATGTTAGTTATTTTTCCTTCAGCTTTACGTGTTGACCGACGGCCCTGTTCCCTTTTCTGTGCCCAGCTGTGCTGCCATCATGCCTCAAACCCGATCCCAGTCCCAGGCCGCGATCAGTTTTCCAAAAAAGAAGCTGTCTCGGACATTGAACAAAGCTAAAAACTCTAGTGACACCAGACTACAACTGACAAATGTCCAGGCCATACCCCATTCGCCTTCTGTAAAAAGTCAGCCTCTCAGCCCCAGAAAACGTCTGGGTAAGCTATCCATTGTACGATAGAGGTATTTTGACCGGTAGCTTTTCACCTCTCTTTATTAAAAAATAAGATACCTTTGAAGCAGCTAAGCTCTGTTAAGGCCACTCTCGTCACTTTGGTTATTTTCAGGATGGTTGCTGAGTTCTCACTGAACTTCAGAGTTAAAATCACTTTCTGAAGTGTGTCCTAGGTCTGACCTTCAACTCCTTAACTGGACTGAGACACAGCTGACATGCTTGTTTCAGATCGGTGGTTTGGATAATGTGTTTTGAATGAGGGGTGATTGGGCAGTATCTGGAGACACTGTTGGTTGTTAAAACTGAGGGGGTGCCACTGGCATAATGGATAAAGACCAGG